GATTAACTATGTTCAGATCTTTTAATGGTTTAGTTTTTGGTTTATTACAGTTATTATTTGGTTTATTATTATTATCTGGTTATTTATTTAGTATTATTATTTGGTTTATTTTTTGGTAAATATGGCAAAGCACACAAAGGCTATCTGCTTAAGAGAAGGACTTCCTAAGGGAAACTCATTCACATCCACACTACATACGAGGAAAATCACGAAAATGCCCATGTAGCCAGCCCATTTGCCTGGAACTGAACCCAGGTTGAACTACCAGTGTTCAACGACTTTACCACTCAGCCAATGGCAGGCCTTTTGATTAAAATTAAGTTTTAGTTTTTTTTAACATTAACACAACTTTCTTCTGCAAATATTGTTGCATTTTTTATAAATATTTTAGTTCTAAAATTTCAAATAAATTTTTGAAAGAATAAGAAGAAAATTTTCATGAAAATATGTATAAAACAAAAAAAAATCCCAGAGATCAACCAAAACGATGCTTTCAACTATATACTACATGAAGAATGAATTGTATGAGATAATCATTGAAACTAAACCTTAAGATGCAATTCAGCAGTATTTTAGAGCATACTAGAACTTCAACATTTTTGTTTTTATACACACTCTTGCACATAGCATTGAATTTGCGTGTTTGGGCACCGTCTCGCATGGATAATGCACAAACCGGATAATCTGCACCCGGATAACTGAGAGTGTACTCACAGTTTTCCGTATTCCATATCTTTATTTTTTGTGCTTGAAGTTCTTAACACCGATCACTGCTCTATGCAAATTAGAACTAATACTGCAAATGCAGTTATCTTTATCTCAATTAAATTCAATTGATTACTATCTTTTTCCATACGCAGATTTCTTGCTATAATGTCTTCATTTTTTTAATTCACAAACAAGTACTTTTAAGAAAAATACTCTTTCCTTGAAGCCAATCACTGCTTCTACCGCCATTATATTTTGTTGACACAGTCCGATTGCTCTTCTTTCACCATGTGATTCCAACTCTTCCACAGACATACGTGTAGAAGTTCAAATCCATACAGTCTCCACGTGCATCACTGATGTCAAATGAAAGTCAGTTTGTTTACTGACTGCAGAACCACATATGCAATGCATTCAGACTACTGTATTAGAAACTGGACTTTACAATAATAGATGCAATAATTATTGCCATTGCTATATTAACTTAAATTTATTCTTCCTTTATATGACAGTACTAAGTGTTGAACAGAATCTACAATTTCTTTGATCTTATGAATAAATTGATAATCAAATCCTATAAAATGACCCTTTTTCTATTCTACATTAATTTAAGTACCCATAAAACAGAAAAATTTGTTCATTAAGTTTTTTTTTAAATATTACTGTGATCAGTCATTTGAATTTAAGCAGTAGTTGAGAGTTTTAATATACAAGGCGATCATAATTAAAATTGGTGCAATCAGAGCATTCTGTGGATTGATTCGGAAATTTGCAGTGCAACAATTAAAAGAATGCACTAAAAGATGCTGAAAAAAATAGTTAAAAAAATTTCATTAGAAGGTGCATTACGCCAAAAAACGAACAAGTTACAAATTCCTATACAAGCATCATTTATTTGCTATAGACTGTTTAGAAATGTAAAACATATTGTTCAATGTAGGCCTCTTCATTAAGATATAAAAAGTGCATGCAATGAGCAGAGTGTTCAACAGCTGATCGCCGGTGATCTTCTGCACACGCAACATTATATGGTCCTTCAAGGTCAAGGCAAAGATGAAAAATTCCCCTGATAAACCAAGCTCTTTAAATGACCCCATAACCAAAAATCACACAGAGTAAGATCGAGAGAACAGGCCAGCCAAGAAATTAGAAATGAATAGCTAACCATCAGTAAAATGTTGCAGCAAATCCCTCTGCATACAAAGTCCTTTGTGTAGAGTTCATAAATTCTGCATAAAAGTGTCACTGCTGAAGCTGAGGTAAGACACAAGGCATTGTCGCTGAAGAAGTTGAGGTTATGAAACTAAGCATGTCACAATATTTCAGAACCATTATATAACATGTTGCATGGCCATTATTGTAATATTCTTAAAAAAAAAGAATGTTCCAAGTATAAATTGGAAAGTGAACCTACTCCAGACAATAACGTTAGGCGAGTATAGTATAATTGTGTGGATGTCAGATGGATTTTAAAAAGACAAATTTGACAATTTTGGGCATTCACTGTTCCACTGAGATAAACATGTGCCTCATCATTCCAATTTTACTCCTCATCACTCCAATTTTAAGATTTGAATCTGTGTTAATAGATTTTTGTTAATATCTGAGGGTTAATGTGTCGTGCTGAAATTAAATTTGCATAATTGAATGTGTAAAAGAGAAGAATTACTATAATTTTGAAGGTTCTAAGGTTAGGTGGTATTTTGATATTATCATTTCTACGACGTCTTGAATGTTTTAAATGTTAGAATTTTCAGTTAAGGTGTGTAAAAGATCAGTTGTGTAAGAACTGAAACATTTTTATGTTGAACAAGTAAAAGGAAAAGGGAAAGGTTTGTATGCCCCAGTATCTTACATTTTAACTGTTGTCATATCAATGTTATGAGCATGTAAATATATGTTTTTAAAAATTGAATTTACCTTTAAATGCATATGTCACTTACGTAACTGTTTGACACCATCTTTCTACATTAATGCACTTTTTATTGCAGTTGCTTATTCTAATCGCATATACATTACGTGCTCTTCCTTTCTCTGTCATGCTATTCCTAATTCAAGAGTCTCCAAATTAGTGTGTTTTTATAATGATTCTGCATGCTTACCTTGTATATTTGTACTCTTCTCACAGAACTATGGACTAATGAACTGTATGTTTTCTCACCAACTTGTTCAGCTTTTCTTCATATCCTGTCAAGTGGCACCATACTAGTTAACTATTATAGTAACAAACTAGAAATTTAGTGTTTCATACCTGAATCACTCAGATCTGTGTATAATTTCAAATTTTACATTCAGTTTCTACAAAGGTTGGGCCTTCTTCCAGAGTAATCTGGTATTTACACTAATTAAACCTCTCATGGATAAGTTATGCAATATTAACAAAAACGTCTAACAGGAACCCCCACTACAGGTTCTTTTATAAAATGGAGGGCGGGAGGTGTAAGCATCATCTCCTGAAAGAAAGCTGTGCAATTCCATTCATATTTTAGAAGTTATTCAGTGGGGTTTCAAGAGTCCTGTACATGCTTTATAATGACTTTACTAGTCTCCCATTTACTCAATTTTTGAAAAAGGACATTTTTAAAAAATGAAATTCTAATATTTCCCAGTTAAATACCAGATAGTCACACTTTCCGATTCTGAATGCTTATACTGTATATTTGTAAAGTAGGAACTAATGAGTTGTATCTATGTTTTCTCACCAGCTTGTTCAGTTTTTCATTTCTTCATATCCTGTCAAGTGTTACCATACTAAATAACTATTATAGTAACGTACTTATAATTTAGTGTTTTATACTTGAATCACTCAGACCTATGAATAATTTCAAATTTTACATCCAGTTTCTACAAAGGTTGGACCCTATTCCAGAGTATTCTGGTGTTCACACCAATTAAACCTCTTATGAATAACTTCTCATGAAATATTAACAAAAAACTTATAATGGGAATCCCCGCTAGAAGTGATTTTACACTAACTCCCCAGTTTTCTTTCTATGAGAGATATTACATTCCAAGGAAAAAAATGATGATAAAATAGAGGGCAGGAGGTGTAAGCATCACCTCTTGAAAGAAAGCCGTGTAATTCCATTCATATTTTAGAAGTTACTCAGCAGGAGAGAGTCCTGTACATGCTTTATAATGGCTTTAGTAGTGTCCCATTTACTTATTAATTTTTGAAAAAGGACATTAAAAAAATGAAATTACAATATTTCCCAGTTAGTTAAACACTGGATAATCGCACTTTCTGCATAATACGCTTTCAAAATAAGATCATTTTACAAATTTATTATCTTCAATTCTATGCCACTATTGTTATGCTGAAAATATTCGCACATTACCTTCAGTGTAGACTGAAAATTTCTAATAGGACAGTATTAATTTTCAACACTCCCCAGCCATACCACTTTTGGATAAAAATAACAACTTTGTCCCAGTTTCAATAAATGCTACTAAATGTGTTTATAGTAAGCAATCAATCATAAATTATTACTCATAACCTATGATCATACAAGTTTATGTCTAAGTAGCTATTAAACTTTGTTTGTTTTAGCTGTTTTTCAGATGAATTCTCATCTCTTTAGGGCAGATCCAAACTCCAAGAGCACAGATAAAAGATAAAACTTAACTGAACGTTTACTGAAAGCTATATCTTGTAAAACACCCAAAATTTATCAAAACTGAACCTCCACTATTTGTGGTTTTTAGAAATTCAAATAATTACATATATGCAAGATAAAAGAAGACTTTTAGGCACCCACCTAACCCAGTTCTAACTACTACAACTTCTAGCCCACCACACAAGCAATAACAAGGATTTTTTTTTTTTTTTTTTTTTTTTTTTTTTTTTTTTCCTTTCCCATTCAAAACCTTTTTCTACTGTAAGTTGGTACAAAATATTTTTATTAGGTGGTCACCCTAGCCATCGCTGACTTTGAGACACTAGCAATGACAGCCTATCCGAAATGCAAAATAGGCAGCATGCTACCCCATTCCCTTATTTTTTTAAAAACTTTTTAGTATCGATTTGTTTTCTCTTGATTCTTTTTACTTAAGTCGTACCTTTTTGTTTCCTACAGAAATAGCTTTACCTTCTTTACCCACATAAAGAATTGGTATACTATTAGTAAATAAATAAAACAACTGGTTCAAAAAAAAAAAATACTTTATTGAAAAACGGGGAAGTGTCATTTTCTTTCAGTTTAAATGCTTACTTATTTCAGTACCTAATTTTAACTAGTTCTTCCTCACAGACATCTTTATACAAATTTTTGAACGATAGCGAAAGATATTACCTTGTAGTTTAGTAAACTCATTATCAGAATCACTACTAGAGTCAGGAAGCTCTCTCATAGCATAATATTTCAGCTGTTCAGGTTCACCTACAGGCATATGGAAAGAAATCATATTGCAAAAAGTAACATGCATAACTGTATTACATGCATAAGGAGTATAAGTTTAAGTTGGAAATAATTTTATTACTGTCATACACCTACGATGCAAACAAAATCATTCAAAAAATAATAATCAAAACCCTGTGCAATATAAACTACAGTGCAATTAAAATTACAGTATGATAATAATAAAAAGAGAAACTTTAACAAAACATGCAAGGAAACTTTAAAAAAATTATAGATTTGGTGCGAGTTCATTTTTGTTTAAAAGAACTAATTAACCAGCATGCAGTTTCACCCTCAAATTTCAGATCTTAATGATAAGATATTAATAAACTATATATGCCTTTTTTATTTTGATTATCCATACTTTAGATCACTGTTTTAATTCAAATTACATACTTGATAATGATCAGTTAAACAAATCGTCACTAACTAACAGCATAAGTATATCCAATAAGTTTTCTTTTTTGAAAAAAAATAAAAGGAGTGTCCTTAACCCTCCGACGCGCGGTGGTCGCGCCCTGAAACTACCAATTTTCGAATTTTTTGATCGATTGATTACTAAACCAATTGAGTACTGATCTTTTACCTCTAAATAACACAAAATGACTACAAAATCATACGTTTTAGGTCTTAGTACTTCAAATCAGATGCCTTTTAAAATTTGTTTTCAATAAGACATAATAACTTCCTTTTATTAATATAAGCAACTTTAAATTTCAAAAGTTATTCATCGCACATCATGATTTTTATCATAAACAATGAAAAATAGCAATTATTAAACTGCATATATAAAAAATTCCCTCTATATATATGGCATTTGCTATGCGGTTTCACGGTGCGACCATTGGGCCACTAGACCATTGTGTCACAATGCTCTAGAGGCTCGGTGGTCGTGCCCTTGAAACCACTGCTCTTTACCATGGCGTTTGCTTGCTTCTCAAATTGGAATGTTTATTTTTACCCGGATATAGATAAGGGGGTTTTGAAACCACAGAGTTATTTTATTACTAAACAACATATCCTGCCCAGTAAAAAGGTCTTTTTTTTTTTCCAGACACTTTTCTCTGACCTCAACACACTTGCTCCCCAAGCTAGTATTGCAATTTTATAAATTATTTCCTGTGGTTTAAATTTAATGAAATATACTTTGCTACAATTAAAAATAGAAAGCACGTAAAGTTTTATTCAAATTAAAAACATTTTTTGAATATTTTGGGATGAAATACGAATAAAATAAGTATGAATGGGAAACGAATGATCCGTACCAAAGCCAAGAAAAAGCAAGCCCCCCCCCCATTAATGTAAAAAGCAACAAATTTCATGTGCCAGATAAAAAGAAACTAAATAACGCTGGGCATACACCAGTGAAATTTAGATCCAGGCAGTATATATTTTGCAGCACAAGGAAGAAACCTCTTAGAGGATACATGGGCGAAAAAACATGCAATGTGGGTCTGTCTATGCATGCACCAAAAAGACAGAACATGCTTTGAACAGTGTCACAAAAAAATTTGTTCTTTGAAATTTAAAAAAAAAGAAAAAGTCTTTTATTTTTATTTTACCGAGTTTTTTTATCCATTTAGCCAAACGTCCTTATGTAGGTACTTATATTTTCACTGCTATAGAAAAATTACATAAATGTTTATTTTTTAATTTTTTCTGATGATTTACTTTGTAAAATAATGTAAAAAAATTATATATAATGCAATTCTTACATTTTTTTAAATTCATAAATTTCATCATTTATTAGAAACACCCACGACGAAATGTAAGTTTTTTCCCCCTACTACCTCAGTAAGTTTCAAAGTCCTAGATGTGCGGTGGTTTCACAGTGCGACCACCACCCACAGAACAATGGGCAAGAGTAGATTTTTTTTAAATTCACATATTATTTGTCTCTAAGACCATAATATTCAATTTTTAGCGTTTTTAGTTTAAAAAGTTATACAAGTAATATTGTGCACGTCAAAGGGTTAATAGGTTGGTAAAAGGGTTAATAGGTTAATGCACGTCAAAGGGTTAACTGAGCAAATTTTGATACAGAAAATCAGTATAGATATTTGCCCTTTTAAAGTTTACACTATCCAATAAAACTTATAACCACTATTAATATACTAAACTAAAATTTATTATTAATTAGAAATGTCTAATTTTAATGATTGTCCAAGTCACCCTCCCACACTACTTTTCAGCATTAATACACAAACTTTGTTTTCAAAACTAAGAAACTAAGGAGCTGCATTTATTAGAACTTTAACATGCTTTGTTATCAAAAAATTTCAAAGAGGATTAAGATGATTGAAGACAGAAAGAAATAAAATTTACATAACAGTATTTTAGATCTGCTGTACACTAAAATTAAAATGGTGAATTTTAATCAATACAGGAAATTTTTTATAAGTTTAAAAATTCATTTTTCAAAATAATGCACAGCATACATTAAGTACAACAATTAAGAGCATGACAAACACTAGGAAAAAGTACATCCCAATTAAATTGTATCAATAAGCAGTAAGAGTGCAAGTTATTCATTAGTAGGATTGGATTGGATTTTTGTAATTTGGCACAAAACCTGTCAAGGTTATCTGCGCCAGACAAATGGTAACAATGCAATTAGTTTATTCATTAGTAAACATTATTTAATACAGAATTTCTCCATTACTGGTCTCTGAAAAACTTATAATCATTTGATTTAAAAACTAGTCACCAACATTTATATTGGTACTTAACACTTTTCAGTGGTATAATACTCAAATGTTCCAAGAAATTTTATACAGTGTAGTAGCTTTAAAAAAAAAAAAAAAAAAAAAAAAAAAAAAAAAAAATCAAAGCATTATGTAGCAAGTTCATCTCAAAGAAAATTTACTTTTCCATAGTGGTTGAATTAAAATTAAGTGCATCACTACACTAGGTCCTCCCTTCCTTCCCCTCCAAAAAAAATATATCTCTTTATTCAAACAAATACATACTTATTCCAAACTATAAACAACAGCAAAATTTTCAACATGTATTTTTCTAATGAAACTACATACTATTCATACCCAAGGTACAGGGTGATTATAACAACAACTGGCCTGTTTTAATGCATTATGTCGCTATAATCAGAGTGTGGACTGAAAACAAAATTTATCAATATACTATCTAAAAGGTGCTGAAAAGTATTCCACAGGGGAAAAAACAGTCAGTTAAAAAAATGTCCATTTCAATATACTTTACTAAACATGAAAAAAGAGTATCAACTACACACTATTCATGAAAACGTTTCAAACATTTATTACAGCATGTACAAGCATTAAAAAATGAAATTAGAAAGCAATATCACCGATTATTAAAAGGAATTTGATTTGCATAAGCACATCGATTGTAATATATTATGTACGATTCACATAAACAGATATCAGTAAAAAAAAATCTAAAGAATCTACTCAACATGTTCTTCTTTATCCATACACATTAAAGGCAATGAAAAATATCTTCAATGGGTAATTGCAGATGATCTTTTACAATGCTTCACACCTGCAACAATGTTCAGAGTTCTATCAAAGCTATAAAACAGTGATGATAAACTTCATTCCTTAGTTAGCTCCACAATAAGAAAACACAGGGATTAAGGTTTAGTGAACATGATGGCCAGACAAAAGGAAAAAAATAACTACAGATATGTTCATCAGTATGATATGTGTACAGAAACTGTTGTATGCAACACCCAAGTTGGAGGGGTTCACTAGCTTGCATATAAGTAACAGCCAACAGATGTCATCACTGTCGCAGTTAAAAAAAAAAAAAAAAAATGTCTGCAACATGTTACAGTAGCTGCCAGAAGTCACAAAACACTTCAGAGAACCCTCAACAGCAGTTTCTGTGAAAAAGAATACATATTAGACTAAGACTTTAAACAGATGCGAATTAATTTCTTGGAAAATACATGGATATTCCTAACTATTGGAACAAGCACAATACACCACTAATTACTCAACACCAACAATCACAACATCTTCAACAACTTCTATGGCCTACCAGGCCGTGAGCATTAAATACTAGTAGTTTAACCTGGATTTGATTTCAGGGAAATTTCATGGATTTCTCCATGTGTAATGTGAAAATGAGACAGTTAGCCCTAAAAGGTCCTCCCTGAAAGAATTCCACACATTAGGCAGATAGCACTCGCATGCTTTGCTATAACCAAATCAGCAACTTGTTAACTGATTTGTATTGCAGACAAAAATGTTTCCCTTTTGTAACTATAAGGATGATCTATGTCTGTCCACAAGTTAAGCCCTGCACCAGATTGATTTTCTAGTTTTACCAAAGAGCAGTCTTTCTCTGGACAGCTTAATGAAGGAGTTATTTGGATAATATTCTTGAAGCAAGATTCCTTTCATTCATTTCACTTCCAAATGATGTAATATACATTTAAAATATTTTTGTGGTTTACTTCAGGTTCCTTTTTCTGTATTTTACCACAATGCACCTAGTACTACATATATTATACTTACGAATTTATCTGAACCTCTTACCAAGCTAATGCACTAAAGACAAGAGCTATTTTCAAAATGGCAGCACTCTGAGCATTTCTCAGAAGAGAAATCAGTCATTAAAATTTAAAAAACAAGAAATATCAGTTATAAAACACTTAACTTTTTCAAGAAACCTGCTGTAATTTGTTTTCACTAAAAAACAGAGTAATGCACAAATTCGGCATCATGCCCAACTTTGCAATGCATTATAGCCAGCAATAAATAAAGCAAAGAGCCATTATTAAATAAAATATAATAATCTTCAAATCAATTTTCGACCCACTTCCTAATAGTTTGCTTGCAAATTTTCACACTGCATTTTCATAAATTTCGGTCATTTAAGAAGTACAGCTCCATATACTGCAAATTTTTACATTCTATGTTATTCGACGAAATGCATATAATGCAATGCCTGCATTTTTATCACCTGAATAACTTCACAGTCCAATTACACTTCATTACAAG